TGCAGCAGCTGCAGCTACTGCTGCAGCTACTGCGCAACAAAGATAATGGCAGCTAGCTGCAGCGGCTGCTATTCTTGCTGCTGTGTCTAAGCCTATTGTTTAGCAGCAGCAGCAGCAGCAGATGCTGCTGCTGCACAACAGCAGCAACTACTCAGGCAAGGTAGGAGAAAAGGAAGCAAGGAGCTCCTCAGATAGACGCACAGCAGCAGCATCTTCTGTCTCCTCTTGCTGCCCCCAAGTGTCTCCTTCTGGCAGCAAAACAGATCGAGAAGAAAGAAGAATTATATTGCCTGTTTGCCTCCATGTCTCGTCTTTTGCTGCTGCTCCTGCTGCACCTGGTGCTGCTGCTGCTCTTGCTGCTGCTGCTCTTGCTGCTGCTGCTCTTGCTGCTGCTGCTGCTGCTGTGCTGTCACTTGGCGGATGCCAGATGCCATGAACAATCTGTGGATAACCTAATGCAGCTTCTGCTTGAATTGCTGCTGCTGCTGCAGCAAGGAGACACTCCCTTCTTGTTGCTGAATCACAAAGAGACTTTGTGTCTCTCATGCTAAGTCTTACTCTTTGTATCCCCGATCCACTGCTGCCTACCTGCTGCTGCTGCTGCTGCTTCCTGCGTTGGTCGCGTCTCTGCAGCGGCTGCTGCCGATGCAGCAGCAGCCTAGACACAAGACCATCAACAGCCATAAGGCCCTCTAGTCCCTCTACACTAAAATCAGGAGACAGCAGCAGCGCAGGTCCTGCCTGTATAGCAGCACTTTTGCTGCTCATCCTCAGCAGCTGCGGAGGGGACATAAGTGTCCCCTCTGCTGTCTTTACGCAGCTGCAGCCAGAAGGAGGCAAGCCGCAGCAGCAGCAACAATCGAGTGATGTCTGCTGCTCATCATGATCGTGTCTATGGTCCTCCTGCTGTTGCTCCTCTGCTGCTGCTGCAGCAGCAGGGTCTGTGCAGCCGTAAGACTCTTGCTGCTCAGGCATACAATAACGTAAGAAGAAAAGACCAGGGAAACCAGGTGTGTCTCTAACCCCTTGGATTGTCTCTCTAGGCAGCAGGCCTAAACCCTGTACAACGGAGCCAGCAACTGCACTGCTCCTGGTTCTGCTGCTGCTGCTGCTGCTGCTGCTGCTGTTGCTGCTGCTGCTGCTGTTTATAAAAGGCTCGCAAGAAGGCAAAGGAGCAGAAGAACGACAGACAAAAGAGACAGCGTTGCTGCTGCTCTTCACTAGTTGGATTAGCACTGCAACACGAACCTGAAGTCAACAGCACAGCAGCAACAGCAGCAGCAGCAGCAGCAGCAGCAGCAGCAGAAGCAAAATGAATGAAGATATACTCATGATCAATATATGCGCAAAAGAAGCAAATAAAACATCAACAGAAATACATACACAATGCAGAAACATCACTAACAGCAGCAGCAGCACCAACAGCAGTACCAGTAGCAACACGAGCAGCAGCAGCAGCAGCAGCAGCAGGAGCAGCAACTTACAGTGGAGTGTTTAACTCTTGCCCTTTGTAATGCGAGTACAACAGGAGGGGAGAAGAGAGTAGCCCATACAGACAAAATAGATGACCATAAACGTTGTGTGTCTCTTATTAGCAGCAAGCGCAGCGCAGCATTGCTGTCGTTGCAGCAGCAGACTGCTGCAGCAGAGGGAGATGCATTAACACTAGGAACACCAGCAACACCACCAGCAACAGCAGCAGCAGCAGCACAACCAGAACCAGCACCACTGGTACCAGTAACACAACCACCACCAGCAGCATTACCAGCAGCAGCAGCAGCTGCTGCTGCTGCAGCAGCAGCAGCAGGATCGTATGCTCCTCCCTTACAGAAATAGTCTAAGTCGTGCAGCACCTCGGGAGGTGCCTGCAGCAAACTCATTAGATGTCTACCCCTACGTAGTAATCTTTCTAATTGGAGGAATCCTCTAAGGAGGGGCCCCTCCCCTCCTGCTGCTGCTGCTGCTGCAGCTGCTGCTGCTTCACCATCGGGCGGTTTCTCTCCTAGAGCACGTGCTGCTGCTGCTGCGGCTCGTGCTGCAGCAGCAGCAGCAGCAGCAGCATTCTTCTGCCGCAACTCCGCCACCTCAACAGCTAAATCAAGAGCAGCAGATATCCGCTGCAGTCCCTTTCTTAGATGTGCATTAGGGGGGAAAAGGAGACAGTGCTCTAATGCAGCAAAGGGGACAGCAGCAGAAGCAGCAAGACTGCTGCCAAGTGCTGTCTGTTGCAGCATAGCAACACCAAGACATCGGCCACCAACATGATGTGGCTCAAAGGCTGATGGACTTAAAAACCAACGGATCGGTGCCTGCTGCTGCTGCAGTTGCTGCAGCTGCTGCAGCTGCCCAGCCACCCCACACCCCACACTCATACTTTTTAGCATTTTTGTGCGGCTGCGTCTTGACAGCAGCCGGCAGCTAATCATTCTTGCAGTAGCAATAGCTTTAGCAGTTGCTGGTGGAGGTGCATCAAGTGCTGCTGCTGCTGCTGCTGCAGCTGCTGCTGCTGCAGTCGTCTGGTACTCCCCCTCACTCTCATCTGCTGCATCGTCGGGATCGATCCCGGGATCGTCTCCTCCCTCACCAAAAAGAGACAAAAAAAGTGGCCGCTGTCTTACTTGTGTCTGGAAGAGGCATATACAGAATTTATGCTCTACGACAACAGGTTTCCATGCTGCTGCTGCTGCTGCTGCTGCTGCTGCAGATGCTGCTGCTTCTGATGCTGCAGATGTTGCACGAGATGGACCAGAACCTATACGTATTGGAGTCAATGGATTGCTGCCGTATGGACCACGACCAGGGAGGACAGGGCCGCTGCTGCTGTTGCTGCTGCTCCTGCTGCTGTCTAACTCTCTTCCTGCAGCCTTGCCTAGACGGAGAGGAGTAGTAGCAGCAGCTACTGCAGCTGCCGCTGCTCCCCCTCCTGCTCCTGCTCCTGTTGCTGCACCTGACGATACACCATCTTCTTGCAGTTCTTCCCCTTGCAGCAGCAGGATATCGCCTGTATCTTGCGGTCTGAATGCTGCTGCTGCTGCTGCCTCTGCGAGTAGATCTGCTGCTGCTTCTGCTGCTGCTGCTGCATCTGCATCTTGTGCTGCAGCAGGAACACGAGGCTCCTCATCAGCTAGCTTCGGCAGCTGCAATGGAGATATAAATGGATAAGAGACAGTCAGCAGCAGCGGCAGGTGGCTTGCTGAGTCTTGTGCCTTACTAGGTTGTGTAAAGCTGCTGCGCATGCGAACAGCAGCACCGGTGCTGCTGAAGCTGCTGCTGCTGCAGCAGATCTCTGCGTCTCGTGTCAGCAGCAAGGGAGATGTTCGCCATGCCTCAGCAAGACGCAGCTGCTGCAGTACAAACTGCTGCCTCTCCTTAAGAACGCAGTATTGCTGCTGCAGCGGCAGCTGCTGCAGCAGTTGATGCAGCGGCAAGACACCAGAGCTTTTCTCCTCAAAGAAACGCCCTAACCAACAACGCACCTGCAGCTCCCGTTGCTGCTGCTGCAGCTGCTGCAGCAGCAGCAAGAAATATGCAGGGTCGTTACATACTACAAAGAAACACCTCTGTATCCTGCAGCGGATCAATAAGCTGCTGCTGCTGCCACTAATAAAAGAAGCAGCAGCACAGCAACGAAGGGGACAATTAACTCCTGCTGCCTCTAACTCGCGGTATGCTGTTGCTGCTGCAGCAGCTGCTGCAGCAAGCACCAACTCGGCAAATGTAGCGCACGGATGAGGGGCCTCCATTACCGATCCCCCTGCTGCTGCTGCCTCCGCCTCTGCTGCTGCTGCTGCTGCTGCGGGATCATCAGGAGAGCTCGGTTTCTGCTGCAGCTTCTCCTCCACGATACTCTGCTGCCGGAGAATCTCCCGCAACAGAAGCAGCAGCTGCAGCTTCGCGTGCTGCGCTGCAGCAGGAAGGAAGGCAGCAGCAGCTGGACAGAGCAGCACGGCCCTGATATACGGTGGTATCTCTTCATCTCCTGTGCTGCTAATGGATGCTAGCAGCAGCGGCTGCGGCGACGGTGGCAGCGCAGCAGCAGCACTCAAGGAAGGCAGCAGCAACAAAGATCCTGCTGCTGCTGTTGCTTCTGTGGGGAATAGCCAAAAGGGGGCAGGAGGGGAAGAAGGGGAAACACTATCAGCAAAAGACAACAAATGTGATGCCTGCAGCAACAGCAAAAACAACACACTGTGTATGCATGCGCAACAGCTAGCCACCTAGCAAGCTAGTTGGGTAGATAGTTGGGTACCTAGCTACCTAGCTAGTTGGCTAGCTAGATAGATACACAGCTAGCTACACAGTAAGGAACCGAATATTGGGATAAGGAGACAGGAGGGGAGAAAGAAAGAGAGTAGACAGACGGAGAGACAGGAGGGCACACAGAAGGCAGCAGCAGCAGCAGCAACTCACCGCAACAACAGAGTGCAGCACAGATTGCTGCACAACTCCTAAGGCTACCCAAGTCCCCACAGCTGAGTTCTCGCTAGCAGCCTGCGGATACAACACAGCACCTAACCTGCTGCTGTTATTGCTGCTGCTGCTACTGTTGTTGCTGCTGTTGCTGCTGTTCCTGTTGCTGTGGTAGCATCGGCATAGCAGCCCCAACTGCGTACTGCCACATACTGCAGCAGCAGCACTCCCGGACATCAGCAGCAGCACTCCCGGACAGCAGCAGCAGCACTCCCGGATAGCAGCAGCAGAAGACACAGCTAGAGGCGAGACAAAGCCAGCAGTCACAACCACCGCCACACGAGCAACAGAGGCAGCAACAGCAGCAGCAGCAGCATAACCAGCACCATCATCAACAGCACCATCAGCAGCAGCACCCAACACCAGCAGCAGCAGCAGCAGCAGCAGCAGCAGCACCTGAAGGAAGAAAAGTATCTTATCCTTGAAGTGTTCTTGACTTAAATCAATTAGACGGCCAACTGCTCTTCCTAATCTTTCTAAGAGAGCCCTCCGCAGCAGCTGCTGCAGCAGTACATATTCTGCCCATGCTGCTGTACCTTCTGCTGCTGCTGCTGCTGCTGCTGCTGCTTGTGCTGCTCTAGATGGTGATGTTGGTGATGTTCCTGAATAAAAACGTAACTGACGACTGCAGCAAGTGCTGCAGCTGCGCAGACACTCTACTGCATCTCCGTCTAGTGCTGCCCAATCAGCTGCTATTATTGATACCTCCGTAAACCTGCAGCAGCAGCAGCAACAGCAGCAACAAAAACAGCAGCCGCAGCAGCAGAAACAGCAGAAACATGCAAAAGATGTATGCTGCAGCGAATGATGGAGTGGCTCTAGACCAACTGCAACAGTACAGGAAAGCTATCGCTGCTGCTCATGATGCTGCTGCTGCTCGTGCTGCTGTTGCCGTTGCTGCTGCTGCTGTTGCTGCTGTTGCTGCTGCTGCTTACCAAGGATAGTGACACTTGAGAGTAAACAGCAGAGCGCCAACTAAGGGGAACAGCAAACGAGGACACAGAGGCATTGGCAGCCGCTGCAGCATCGCAGCAAACTGTCGTGCATGCTGCAGGTGCTGCAGCTGCGGCTGCTGCTGCTGCTTCGGAGAAGATCCAACAGAGCTTGCAGGAGGCGCAGCAGCAGCAGCAGCAGCAGGATCAGCAGCAGCAGCATCAGGAGAATTCCGGGCGGGAGACTCCAACGGTGTGCGCGCACTTTCCCCCTGCTGTTGCTGCTGTTGCTGCTGCTGCTGGTGCTGCTGCTGGGGGCTTTGAGGATTCGCATCTGCTGTCGCTGTTTGCTGCTGTTCTGCTGCTGCAGTCTGATGACTTTGCTGCTGCAGGTTTTGCTCTTCCCTCCTTAGTGCTTCTTGCTGCTCCTGCTGCAACAGCAACTTGAGTTGCCGCTGCTGCAAGGGGGAGAAGGGAACAGGGAAGCTGCTGCTGAGGACTTGCTGCTGCAGCAGAGCAGCAAATGCTTCTTGCTGCAGCACTCTGTTGCATAGTTGATTATATAAAGAGTCAAGAGACACCTCCAGCAGCAGCAACTCTGCACACGTTGCTGCCTCTTCTCTGCTGCTGCTGCTCTCTCTTGCTGCTGCTAGCATCCCCCGCACAGAGCCCACCCGCTGCAGCAGCTCAAGGCAGCTGCAGCGAACCCTGCAACAGGCGCATAGGTGGCGCTGCTGCTGCTGCTGCTGCTCCATGGGGCAGCGGGAAGCAGCAGGATGTGATGCAATGACCTGCAGCTGCACTAGCAGTTCTCCATAGTGTTCATGCTGGTGATGGTATTGCTTCTGCTGCTGCTGCTGCGCCTGCTGCTGCTGCTGCTGTGCATGCAGCTTGTGGCAGTAAAGTGCCACCGCCAAGGGGACAGCTGGTACAGGCAGAGCCTTAGCAAATTCCTCGGGGAGACAGTTGCTGCGGTGGACCTCGTTGCTATTGCTGTTGCTTCTGCTTCTGTTGCTGCTGTCGCCCGTCTGTGCAGGACCTGCCGCTGCTGCTGCTGTTGTTGTTGTTGCAGCTGCGGTTGCTGCTGCTGCTGCTGGTGCAGCAAGCTGGTCGTGCTTGCAGCGAAGGAGACAACTCTCTACGGTCAATCGTTGCTCAGCAGCAAGAAGAGACAGCAACTGCAGCAGCTGCGATAAGCAGACACCTAATGCCTTTAGCTGATGGGGTGTAGGTACACCGTGCTGCGGCTGCGGCTGCGGTTGCTGCTGCTGCTGTTGTTGTTGCTGCTGCTGCTGTTCCTGCAACTGCTGCTGCATATCCGGGAGGGAGGCGTTCACGCTAAAGTCCGTGTTATTCGTGGGTGTGCATGCATTTGCTGTTATTCCTGCTGGTGCACCTGCTGTTGTTGTTGCTGCTGCTGTTACTGCACCTCCCGGTGCTGCTGCTGCAGTTGCTGCTGCTCCTCCTGAGCTCCGTGACAAATCCCTGGGGAAGACGTCTAGGGGCAAAAACAAGCGCGGCTGTGGCAGTTCTACCTGCTGCTGTGTTTGCTGTTGCATTTCCTGCTGTATTTGCTGCTGCACTTGCTGTAGCAGCTGCCTTTCTGTTTGCTGCAGCTGCATGTATGTTTGCTGCGTCACCCCTGCAGCAGCCCAGAAGGCAGCAGCATCTCCTCCGCTGTTGCAGTAAGCAACAAGTCCTCTTAGTATAGCTGAATCTGCCCCCATAGCTAATGCTGCTTCTGCTGCAGCAGTTGAGCAGCTCGCAGGAGTAGCAGCAGCAGGAGCAGGTGCAGCAGCAGCAGCAGCAGCAGAAGGCTGCAAGGATACCAATAAAGGGGGCACAGCACTTGGAGATCTTGATAGTGCAGCACGCCAAGCAGCAAAGAAGGGATCAGTAGCAGCAACAGCAGCAGCAAATGCCAATGCCTCCTCTAATGCCTGCAGCAAACAACAAAGACACCAAACATTGGGTGGGCAGCTAGCTAGGTATTTATCCAGCTGGGTAGCTAGCTAGCTAGCTGGGTAGCTAGCTATCGACCCCAGACAGCTAGGAAACAAGTCAAAAAGTCCTCCCGCTGCAGCTGCTGCAGCGGCTGCTGTTGCTGCTGTTGCTGCTGCTGCTGCTGCTGCTGCTGCAGGTACCTGCATGAGTCTGGCTCCTAGTATAAGAGGGGCGAGGAGACCAACACAAAAACGAATGACACTTCTTGCCTCCATTCCTTCATTCCAGTGTCTCCCCAGCAGCAGCAGCAAACGGTTTGCTGCTGCTGCTGCTGTTGCTGGCAGCAGCGGGAAAGCAAACGCTTTTAGGGTCTCCTCCTCCATTGCATGCAACTCCTCCGTTACATCCTCCTGTAGGCTGCAACCAGAAGAAATGCCTACTGCTGCTGCTGCTGCAGCTCCTGCTGCAGCTCCTGCTGCAGCTCCTGCTGCTTCTTCTGCTGCTAGTGCCGTGTCTGCTGTATATATGGACGAACCGGGAGCAGCAGCTGCTGCTGCTGTTGTGCCAAGAGCTATCGTTGCTGCTTCTGCTGCTGCTGTTGCTATTGCCTTCTCGCTTGCGGTGGTATAATCATCACTAGCACGTGCAACGAGACCTGCTGCCTCAACAGATGCTTGCTGCTGCTGCTGCTGCTGCTGCTGCTGTGGCGCTGCTGCTGCTGCTGGTGAGGCTTCGTCTGCTGCTGCTGTCTCTGTGCAGGGTGTGGAGTGCTCACGCTTCTGCAGCGGCCAGCTTGAAGGGCTGCCTTCAGCTGCCGCAGCAGCAGCAACATCAACAGCAGCAGGGGAGGAGGCAGAAGCAGCAGCAATACTGCTGCTGCTGCTGCTGCACAAACGGGTACCATCCCAGCCTTCGCTGTGGCAGCGACGTCTTGGATGAGGGAGGCAGCAGCAGCTGAGGCTTAGGACAGGAGGCAACTTCTTAACGTGCTCCGTCTCCTGCTGCTGCTGCAGCAGCTGCTGCTGCTGTTGCTGCAGCGGCTCAAGCCGTTGCTGATGGTGGTGATGATGATGCTGCTGCTGTTCTGCAAATTGCTGTTGTTGTTGGCCTTGCCATACTACTCCATCCTGTTGCTGCTGCTGCTGCCGCTGCTGCTGCTGCTGCTGCTGCTGCTGCTGCTGCTTACGAGCCCTCATAAGGAGTATAAATGCTGCCTGTTGAACATTTTGGAATGCCCATAATTCGGTGACGAAAAATGAAAATATCCAAGACCAGAAGCTTACACCTTTTGTCTCCTCTTGCTGCTTGCTGCTGCTGCTGCTGCTGCTGCTGCTGTCTCCTTCTAATAGGGACAGCAACACATTCACTATTCTCTCAGGTCCATCAGCAGCAGCAGCAGCAACAGAAAAAGCAGCAGAAGGAGTAGCTGGCACTGATGCTGTTTCTGTCGCTGGTGTTGTTGCTGCTGTTGCTGCTGCTGCTTCTGCTGCTTTTCTTGCTGCTGCTGCTGCAGCAGCACATATACCCCAGGGACATCCAGGTGATGGAGGGAGGGGACAGGCAAGAAAACGAGATGATGCAAACAATGAATGCAAAAATGCACTCTGCTGCTGCAGCAGCTGCTGCAGCTGCTGCTGCAGATGCCTCTGTAGCTGCTCCCCCGAACTCCGCCGCCTACCATGTGCTGTCGTTCTGCTCTGCTGCTGCTGCCGCTGCCGTTGATGTTGCTGTAGTTGTTGTTGCTGCTGCTGTTGTTGCTGTTGTTGTTGTTGTAGTTGCTGTTGCTGCTTTTGTTGTTGTTGTTGCTGCTGTTGTTGTTGTTGCTGCTGTTGCTGTTGCTGTTGCTGTTGTTGCTGTTGTTGTTGCTGCTCCTGTTGTTGTTGCTTTTGCTGTTGTTGCTGTTGCTGCTGTTGCTCTTGCTGCTGACGTTGCTGCTGCTGCTGTTGCGGTTGCGGTTGCTGTTGCGGTTGCTGTTGCTGTTGCTGTTGCTGTTGCTGCTCTCTTCCTCCGTTGTTTAGCAACATAGCGGTATGATGTCTAGAGGAGGATCGTCGTCTCCTTGCATGTCCTGCTGGTATCCCTTGTTGTTCTCCTTTTCCTCCTCCATCACCTCCCGCTGTTGCTTCTGCAGCTGCAGCAGCAGCTGCTGCAGCAGCAGAAGCAGCAGCAGCAGCAGCAGCTTTAGGTTCTGCTGCAGCTAATAAGAATAATAATTTATCATTAGATAATAATAATTGCTGATTAAGACTTGTAAATAAAAAAGGTTTATAAATATTAATAATAAAATTACCTTCTCCTTCTTCTCCTCCTAATAAGCAATGATGCCATCTATAAGGATAATTACCTGATCGTAATACAAAACTTATACCAACAGCTGCAGCAACAGCAGCAATAGCAGCAGCAGCAGCAGCAACAGCAGCAACAGCAACATCAACAGCAGAAGCAGCAGCAACAGCACAAGTAATGGTACAGGGTGAGAGTTTTGTTCTGTAGGTAAACATACAACTTTGTGTATCTATTATAGTGTACGCGCTTGGACTGTTCCTGCTGCTGTTGCTGTTGCTGCTGCTGCTGTTGCTGCTGCTGCTGCTGCTGCTCTTGTTGCTGCTGCTGCTGTAACTGCTGTCTGCCTTACTGGATTTGCCGTCAACTCTACGCGGGACCTTCAGATCGATAACATACAGTGTTACACTCCTAGACCTGTTGCAGCAGATCCTGCTGCTGCTGCTGCTGCTGCTGCTGCTGCTACTGTCTCCATTAAGCAGCAAGACACCGTTGCTGCTGACGGAGATTCTCTTCATAGGAGAGTCAACACTCTGGGTGTCTGAGGAGACAGATCCTTCTGGCCAGTAGCTAACTGGTGGCTGTCTCCATCGTTGTTCTGTGTTGCTGCTGCTGCTGCTGCTGTTGCTGCTGCTGCCAGCGTGCTGACCGGGGTGCTGCTGTTGCCCAGGAGGCCCTGCTGCTGCTGCTCCCCCAGGTACTTGGCTTAGGGCAGCAATTGCAGCAGCCAACCCTACTACTCCTTCAGCACCTGCCGCACCAGCAGCAGCAGCAGCAGTAGATGCAGATGCAGGTGCAGCAGCAGCAGCAACAACAGGCTGTATACGGGGGTCCGACAGATTGGCGATAGCAGCAGCTGCTGCTCTGCTGCACTGGTTAACAGCAGCAGCAGCAAGCTCCTGTGGCTTTCTTTCATCTAGCAGCAAACCCCAATGGCAGTAGCAACTCAAATCTGCTGCTGCTGCTGCTGCTGCTGCTGCTGTGCCAGTCTGCTGCTGCCCGTTAAGGTTTAGCAGCGCAACAAGACGCAGCTGCAGCAAACCAGGTGTACTCTCTACTAGTGCTACCTCCACCTCTCCTCCTTGCTGCGCAGAAGAAGCGTAACGCCTGCAGCAGCAGCAGCAGCAGCAGCAGAACATGAAGCAGCAGATGCAGCAGCAGATGCACCAGAAAGGGGGCAAGGAGACACAAAAAGGAGACAGTAATAAAAAGGAGACAATAATAAAAAGGAGACACTAATAAAAAGGAGACAATAATAAAAAGGGGACAATAATAAAAAGGAGAAAAAAAAAATAAAAAGGAGAAAAAAAAAATAAAAAGGAGACAATAAAAAAAAAGGAGACAATAAAAAAGGAGACAATAAAAAAAGGAGACAGTAAAAAAAAGGAGAAAAAAAAAAAAAAA